GAGAGAGAGAGTGAGACCTTGTGCCTGTGGGTCCAGGGAGGCGAACCAGTTGGAGCAGAGGCCTCTCCGCGGTTGTACATCTTGGTCTTATAACGGACCACCGCCACCAGCTTCCAAGCCAATATTTCAAGGATGCTACGCCATCGAGTGCCGCCGAAGGACTGTTCCAATCTCCAGCATACTTGGAATTCCACCGAGGCCGCGTCCTTGGTTTGGGGGTAATTTCGAGGCTGCACATGGGTAGACTTCGCGTCCTTCAAATCCCCACAATGCATTGCGCACGGACCAATTTCCCCAAATCTGTGGCGGAAAATGTAAGGCGGGGCCTCTCATATGACACACACATGCGCACACTTGCTCGCCTGTTCCACTCTTCGTTTTCCGAATGCCAGGAAGGATTCTTGCCTCGCTTCTGAAGGAAGTGACTCGGAAGACATGTGCTACCAAGCAAGCATCCTCGAGATTGAGAAACGGCCGCTGACTGCAGTGGGGTTTGAACCTGGGCTCCCCTGATCCCAACACCAACGCACAACCCACTGCACCACACGCCTTCCTATATGCACATAGCATTAAATGGTCTGAAATGTGTGCTTTTTTAATTTTAATTGAATATTTTGTGTGTGCATCGCTGCTTTAACGATCCTTTCTTATTGCTATATGCTGTCGGAAAAGCTCAGGTGTAATTAATAGCGTTAACGAGGTGACACTCTAGCAGCTGCACTGATTGGAAATGAGCCCTCGTTAACGATATAAGTTACACCTGTGCTTGTGTTCATGTAATAAGTGTCGGCTACGCACATATAAGCATATAGAGGGGTTGTAAAACGGCCTCTTCCCCACTTCCAATTATTCTACTTCTGGTGCCCTTGCTCGTTTTAATCTCAAACACTTCATACCTGTAAAGTTTTGTGACAAGAAATAAGGGCCGTGGACTCAGAACTTGGTGGAGCTTTGCCCATCTGTACGACCTTCACGTCCTTCACAAGAACAGCTTCACCTCTTCACTGAAAACACCTGTTGGCAGGATAGTAGCCTCACAGCAACATTTCAAAACCTCAACAACAGGAGAAACAAACAAAACAAAAGCATGTAATCAGGTGGACAATGTATGTAAATGCAGGAGAGCGCTGTGGAGATTGTAATTCATCGCCCTGTGTGTTTTTGTGCCTGGTAGAGCTGCAGCATGGCTGGGGATCACCGAGTGGAAGAGGCTTCAGATGATGCAGAAGCTTAATGCAAGCAAGTGAAGAGAGCAATGCGTTCACTGAGAAGTCAACAGCTAAGTTAGAAAGCTCCATATCACATTTCCTCTGTGTGTGAACTACATATCTGCTGCTAATGTGACAGCCTCTATAATCAAGCATGGAGCCGTTTTATTTTACTCAAGACAAATTAGACATTAGGCCGTTTATCGTCAATTAGCCAAACCTATTTATCCAGTCTTACTCTGACTCTGAGCTTCGGAGAGTGCGTGATTTACATGCCGTTCAACTTTTGAATTCTCCCAGCGTTTTTCAAGTCGCTCACAGTGTGCGCCATGTATAATTAAATGCCAGTCATAATCAGGCTGAATCGTTGTAGTGCTGTTTGAATTAGATTAAGGTAGTGTGTGAGTTAGATTTCAATCTCCCGGTGTAGGCGAACATCGTTATGCCTGCTTATGAAGCCCTCAGCCACTCCATTACGTTGTTTCCTCATTAATTTCAGAGTGTGTAAATATCACGAGAGAGAGGAAAGTAAGATAGAAAAGTTATTCCACTCTGCAGCGGATGATGTCTACGGACAACCTGCATACATATGGGAAGAAAAGAAGCTCTGTCTTCAGCGGGTAGAAGGAATGTGAGCATAGACTTAGATCTGTATCAGACCTTAGAGGGATAATGGTGTATCACACATGTAATATAAGCTCACTAAGCCCTGCAGATCCACAATGATGTCTGTGATGTTCTGCTGGGAAAATACTGAATGTATCTTCCAACATGAGAGCAGCATGCTAACAAAGGTATCCCAACTGTAGCTGTGTTCATGACAGGATGTGTGATTACCTAGAAGAGCATCAGGACTGTTTGAGGCATATGTTTTTGTAAACACAAACTAAACTCAAATAATTGTCCTGATTTTGATAAAGGTTCAAAGGAAATGGCATGGTTTTGATATCTCCACTAAAACGTATTTTTGGTGTCGAGTGTTGCAGCTTCTTGCCAAACAACATGACAAAACATCAGTTCATTTCCAGTGCTGCGCTTTGATTGCTGAAACAGACTCAAAAGACATCTAAGGACCGAGTGTCAGCTCCGTCAGAATCAGAGAGAGAGAGAGAGAGAGAGAGAGAGAGAGAGAGAGAGAGAGAGAGAGAGAGAGAGAGAGAGAGAGAGAGAGAGAGAGAGGGAGAGAGAGGGAGAGGGAGAGAGTGAGAGAGAGAGAGAGGTAGAGAGAGGGAGAGGGAGATGGAGAGAGAGAGGGAGAGAGAGAGAGAGAGAGAGAGAGAGAGAGAGAGAGGGAGAGAGAGAGAGAGAGAGAGAGAACCAGGAAGAGACGTTTTACAGCAATGGAAAACGTTGACACGGGCCGTTTCTCAATCTCGAGGATGCTGGCTTCCAAGCCAATATTTCAAGGATGCTACGTCATCGAGTGCCGCCGAAGGACTGTTCCAATCTCCAGCATACTTGGAATTCCACCGAGACCGCGTCCTTGGTTTGGGGGTAATTTCGAGGCTGCACATGGGAAGACTTT